GATCGCTGGGCTCCCTGGACATCCGGCTCGGCCCCGGGCCCGGGCTGGAGCTGTCGCAGGGAGCTCTGAGACCTCCCTCCTCTGCAGAGGTCTGGTGAAGAAAGGCAGAATTCACCTTCGAAACAGAAATATGCACTTCAGGCTGTGGTCAGCTCTAACACTGTACAAAGTTACTCATTTCTCTGGTTTTATTCTTCGAATAGTATACAGAAAGAATGGCCTATTACAATGAAGTAAAAAAAAATCTTAACTATGCCATTAAGTTCTGTGCCACTGGCCGCTCGCTTAACCTCCTCGGGCCTCAGTTTCCTATTTGCAAAATGAAACTGTTGCAAGGTTCCTCTGCCCCGGGGATTACCAACCCTTACTTTTCATCAGGATCCGTCACCGGGGGGATTTTAAAATGGGATTGTCCAGGTCCCACCCCAGCCATACCAACGATTCCATTGTGCAGCCAGGGTTGAAACCCCAGTTGCTCTCACTCTGTGGAATAAAATTGAGAGTAGTGGTTAGTCACATGAATGCAGCTAAGTCTCAAAAGGGATAGAATACAATACCAGGCAAAAGATCATGGATGAATGCTAAAAGCTTTGGGTGCAAGGGTATTGGGGAAACCTGGTATTTACACGACTCAGTCACCTTAATTGCAAAGGGAAGACATGTTTATAATGAAAGGGTCTGGTAGTCATCACCCAAGTCAAGCCCCACAGTGAACACCTCACCTTACCATCACCACTGATGAGACTGACAGACGTTCTGGTGTAATAACAGGGTTCTGGCATGACGCACTGAGGAGGACACAACCCCCCTATGCAGTATTCCTGCCAAAAATGTCTAACCTAAATCAGTTCATAAGGAAACAATCGGGCATATCCAAAATTAGGAATATTCTATGAAGTAATTGGTCTGGATTCTTCAAAAATGTCATCATCTTGCCTGGCCGCGGTGGCTTAGTGGTTGAGCGTCAACCTATGAACCAGGAGGTCACCGTTCCATCCCTGGTCAGGGCACATGCCCGGGTTGCTGGCTCGATCCCCAGTGGGGGCGTGCAGGAGGCAGCCCATCCATGATTCTCTCTCATCATTGATGTTTCTATCTCTCTCTCCCTCTCCTTTCCTCTCTGAAATCAATAAAAACATATATTTTTTAAAATGTTAATGTCATGAAAAAGGGAATTTTTCTAGATTAAGAGACTAAATGGATATGACAACCAAATACAAGGCCTAATTTTTGGAAAAATAGATTTAAATGTGGACTATCTGTTAAATAATAGTTTTATATTGGTATTAAATTTCCTGAATGTGACATTCATATTTTGGTTATGTAGGAGAATACTGAAATATATAAAGGTCAAGTGTTACAATTACTAAATTTTAAATGGTCCAGCCATAAATGGTTCCTCTCTATTCCTCTCTAAAATCAATGAAAGTATATTCAAAAATAACGGTAATAAAATATGGTACAAGTAATAAAAAGCACATTTAGAAAAGATGCTAGAAATGGAATCGTGAAGTTGACCCAGACGAAAGTCTTACCCAGCCGGGCCCACTGCTGTGGGTGGCAGATGAGGGTGGTGGCCGCTGTGCCATCTAGTGCACATTCTTTGGTGCCGTTATCAGGAGCAGAATCTGCAGTTACTGGTTTATGGCAGTGTTTCTTAATCTTTAGTCACTTTTGCACTTAATGCATTTGACACTAATGCGATTACACTAAATACATTTTAAAGGAGACCTTACATGGCGATTGTCAAAGAAAAACCAGTATAACTTCTAAATAGATGGTTGCTATATATTTTTTAAAATACGTTTTTATTGATTTTTTAGAGATAGGAAGGAGAGGGAGAGAGAGAGAAACATCAACGAGAGAGAAACAGCAATGTCGATCAGCTGCCTCCTGCAAATCCCCTACCTGGGATCCAGCCCGCAATCCGGGCTGCCCTTATCTGATTTGAACCATGACCTCTCTTGGTTCATGGGTCAACGCTCAACCACTGAGCCACACCGACTGGGCTATATGTATATATTTTAAAAGAAAAAAAAAAGTTAATCTGATTAGTTGACAAAAATATACCCCTTGACATATGTGCCTGTGACTCATGTGTTAGACTTATGGTCTGTGATTCAGGGTAGGTGGAGTAGGAGGCCAGCACTGTGCTGGCTGCTTCCTAAGCTCCAGGTGGCAGGACCTCTGCTGGCTAGTCCCTTGATGAGGTCTCAGTGCCTTTGGACGGTGCATGTTTCGAGCGTAGGTTGCACCATGGTTGTGCGCAGCGTGGCCTTTCTTGCCCACCCTCCCTACTCAGGTGTCTGCAGGTGGAACTAACAACATACAGGCTTTCAGTTTTCTCTGTACACCTCCACAGCACTGCTGAAGATTCACTTCCTGAAGATTTGACTCATCGGTGGCAAGGCCAGGACCTGTAATTCTCATGGTTTGCTTGAAGTGGCTGCCACCTATGTTGGTCTGTTCCTTAGGTCATAGGTGATTGTTATAGAAGTGAGCCATGTTTGTCCATGTAACCAGCTAGAACAGTCTGGTGTGTGGTTTTGTCAGCATCGCTCCCACTTTACCAATGAGGAAACCGAGGCCTACACAGGTTGAGGAATTTGCCCGAGGTTACAACTCGCGAGAGTCAATGTCAGCTCAAGTCAGTCAGATTTCAGAGCGTGTCCATCCAGCACTATTATGTCTCCTCCCTAAGAGTGACCATGTTTATGCAGAAGGATAAATTTTTAATGTAGAAATAGTTGTTATTAATTTCCTAAGAGTGCTATAAAAAGCATTGCAATATCTCAATAAAAAACTGGTATGACTTCTACTCAGATGATTCTGTACCGTGTTTAGAGTATCTTAGTTGTGGAAACACTTGAAAATGGCTTTGGTTCTGTTTGTCACCAGAGAACGTAAGTTATGCTTGGATTTAATATTGACATTTGGGTTTTTCCCTAGAAGAGGATGCTCATTCACAAAATGATGGAGTTTTGTTGTTGTTGTTGTTGTTTTATCACAATTGAATAATTTTTAAAAATATAAACATATGTGCCAAATTAACAACTTCACATTTTACAGAAGGCTGGAAGTGAGAGGGTAAGTCTTTTCTTTCTCTTGCTGACCCTCTTTTCTGTCTCTGGGTATCCACTGAAACCTGTGTACTATTCCAGACATTTCTTATGAACAGCAGGTGTGGATGTGTATACACACACACACACACACACACACACCTTGTTCTTTTTGCTTAACAATGTGTCTTTGTCTTGGATGCCTTTCCTTATTACATCTTCATCAATCTCATTCTTTTTTTCTATTGTAACTTAATCAAAACAAATCCATTCAACCAATGTTTATTGATCTCATGAGGCCTACAGGCCAGTGAGAAAGAGATAAATGCGGAAAACAAAAGGTAGATAAATACGGATAAAGTGCACGTCTGAGATGTGAGGGGCACGAAGCAGGTGTAGTCATTTCGGGGGAAGGGAGCTGGGCTTCATTGAGGTGACCGTGCTTGAATCTGGCTTTGAAGTCTAAGCTTTCTCTGTACATCTCCGCAGCATTGGTACAGACTCGGTTACTAACGATTTGGCGCATCGGTGGCAAGCGCAGTACCTGTAATTGGTGTGTAACGTGCACATGTGATGTTTTCTCCCAGAGAGTCCATTCCATTGAGTCCGGGAACTTGACTTGTGTTTCCAGAGCCCCACGGACGGTATGCTGCAGTCAGGAGTGTGATGAAAATTCCCCAATTCCAGATTTCCAGCCAAAGTTGTGATTTCCCAATGAGAGGACTTAACATTGTTTTATAATAACGTGAACTAGCAGAGCCCTTTCCAACTCCCCGTGCTTTCATCCTCACAGATCCTGAAGGGCGGCATTTCCCCCACGTCATTACTGAAAAGACTGAGGCTCAGAATTCAGACATGCAAGAGCACCGATGGGAACAAATATTTGAAATCGTGTCCTTTTATTCTGAAGTGCAGGACCCTGTGCCTTCTCTGGGTCCTAATTCTCATCTGTGGGATGGAGGTGATGCCCACTCAGAGGGTTTGTTGTGAGGATTAAATGAGATCGTATTTTAAAACATTTATTGTAGAGCACAGATTGCCAGTTATAAAATAGTCACAGGGATGCAAAGTACAGCATAGGGAATATACAGTCAATAATACTGTAATACCTACGTATGGTGCCAGGTGGGCACTAGACTTACTGGGGTGATCACTTTGTAAGGTATGTAAATGTCTAGTCACAATGTTGTACACCCAAAACTAATACAACATTGTATGTCAACTGTTATTGAAAAATAAGTTTTTTTAAGAGACATTAATTATAGGTTCTGACTCCAATGGTAGGGGGTAGAGGTACCATTAAGCTTTTCCACGATGTCTTTTCACACCCAGTGTTAATTAAGTTGTTATGTACCCCGCACGTGGCACAGAGCTTCTCAGATGCTGTCCAGGAGTTTGGATGTCCCTTCATGGTGGACTTGGAGGAAGGAGGGCCAGTGACCGAGGCAATCAGATGGATGACCGCATTGTCGGCACTGACGCTGAGTGTGGTTTGGGGTTGCTGTGTGCTGCTTTGCTTGGCGCAGTAGATGTGTTCTTGACCAAAGAGTTTGACTCGGATGCGTTGTAGATTATGTTATTTCAGTGCGCCTGCCAGAGGAGCTTATCAGTTAAAAGAACCCTGCAGTAAATCTTTTTGTAATGTAAATACACTTCATTTGTTTTTATAAATTCAGAATGTTTAACATTC